GTCTGGCTGTTGGTGTTCTTGGGCTTTCTTCCAAACCTGCACATGTACTAGCATGGCACCTGAAATCCATTTGTTCAATCACCTTTCAACTTCATTTTCTCCCTCTATAGTTTTATCTGTTTCTCAGAGCTGTTTTCAGCTCACAAACCCACTTGGGTTGGATTAATTGACTAGAAATACTCATTTCTAAATGGTTTTTGTTTCATTAGACTTCTGCCTGTTTTTAAAAAGGTTTTTGCCAAGATGACGTCAGTGGAGAAGAGATTTTGGTATAATCAGCTTCTTTATGATCTTTTGGTAGTCATATTTTGAGACTGGTGTGTCTGATGTATTCATTAATTTCTAGAATAAATATTTGAGGGGCTGCTGTGTACCAGGCCCTATTCTAGGCACTGAGAATATAGCAGGGAAAAAAATAAAACTCTTACCCTCATGGAGCTCGTGTTCTAGTGTGTGTGGGTTTAGAGACAATAAACAAGTGAAATATAAAGTACGAGAGATGGTGAAAAGTGTCATGGAGGATAATAAAACAGGGATGGCAGATAGGGGATTTGGTGGGGAGGCAGATTTTCTATTTTAAGTCAGAGAAATCTCATTGATTAAAAGACATTTGAGCAGAGATCTGAAGGAGGTGACAGAGTGAGCCATCCAGGTATCTGAGGGAAGAGCAATCAGGATGCAGAGAAAAGCAAGTGCAAAAAGCCCTTGAGGCCAGAGAGTGCTTAAAGTGTTTAAAGACCTGCAAGGAAGTCAGTGTGGGAGTGGTAGGGGGCGGAATCCCATGGTGGCCCAGCCTCTAGTGATTCTGACTTAATTGGTCTGAGCTGGGGTCAGACATGTGGGTGAGGGTAGGGGTGGGAAATTGCTTCCCAAGTGTTCCTAATGGGCATGGAGGTAGGCATGGGGATTGCCCCCCAGGTGTTCCTAATGGGCATGGGGGGGGTCAGGCATGGGGATTGCCCCCCAGGTGTTCCTAATGGGCATGGGCGGGGTCAGGCATGGGGATTGCCCCCCAGGTGTTCCTAATGGGCATGGGCGGGGTCAGGCATGGGGATTGCCCCCCAGGTGTTCCTAATGGGCATCCAGGGCTGAGAGTCACTGGTCTAAGGGTTAAATAAGCCTTGTCTTCTGTATTTGATGGGGAGATTTGGAGGGGTAACTGTGAGTAGGAGACTACAGCTGCTCTGATGGGAAGGCCAAGACCGGGCCCTATGACCTTTCCAGGAATAACAGGAATCTTCCAAAGTAATAAAAACTCTTTTTGGTTTATGTACCTTTTCTCATTTGATTACCTCACCTCTCTGGCCCTCAGTTTCCTTACTTGTAGAGTGAGTAGCTTAAATTTAATGGTTTCCTAGAATCTCTTTGGCTCTGACAGTCCTTAACCTTTCTGCTTCTGGAAGAATCTCTAATCTAGAACAATGGTCTAGGACAATGTTTCCTAATCCTGATCTTATAACACCTAAGGTGTGTCATTATTATGGCAAAGGCTATCGCGAATGTCTCAATACCACACTGAAGGAAAGTTTGTGCCGTATCCTGTGGCACTTGGTGAGATGAGGGTGTTGGGAATTCTGAAATGGGAAAGCTGACCTTCCAGTTCAGAGTTCAGAGTACAAGGGCAGCTTGGTGCTTGGAGGCAGGTGGGAGCCTGAGTGCCGGTCTTAGCTCACTGATTGGTGAGTTCCTTAGGAAGTGGGAATACTGTGTTATAAACTGTAAAGTTCCTGTACATCCCAGTGTGAGTATGTGATTAGGACGACCTGGGAGAAGCAGTCAGCCTGGGTCGGTGAAGCCTGATGCTCAGGTTTGTGAGCCCCTCTCTGCAGCCAAATGGTGTCGTTGCATGTGAGAGACTGGATAACTGACGGAACCCGATGGCTGGAGGAACCAAGGTTAACCTGGAGCAGATATCCAGGTGCCCTCATCAGAATACCTGAGAACTTACTATGGGATGTCAGACTGTAGACAACGACTGGCCCCTGGTCTCTGACTTTTGTACTCAGTTGGACAGCAGAGTGTCTGCTTGTTAGTTTATGTTTTGAAATGTGAAGGTCCAAATAAAAAAAAGAAAAAGTCAGGGGAAAAAAAGTTTTCTCTGTTTCCTTTCTGTAGAATTGGGATAATTGGTTTCCTTCCCTTCCCTTCTAAATTTTTCCATTAATATTGTCTGTATTTCTGTTTAGAATCGAAACTAAATACCAGTCTGTCAAAATTAGGACAAAATGAAGTTAAGTGAGAGAATGCAGGATTAGGGTGAGAATGAGCTGGATTGGAAATTCAGGGGATGAG